AAAAAAAAAAAAAGAAATCTAGGTAAATTCAATTTAAAGGAATATGCTTGAAACCTATGGACACTCAAGTATACTACTAAACCATCGAATTTATCTAGGATGCGTCCCTCTCTTTCAACACATTATGAAATAAAAGATTACATTATTCTAGGAAATCGTCATCGATTCATTTATCTAGGATGATTCGTCAATTAATATTAATATACAGATTTTATTATACTAATATATGTATTTATTATATTAACACACTTTTATTTATTTGATCAGTATTTTTGTAAAAATTTGTTATTAATATATTACTCGAATGTGTAATGTTATTATTTAATCGATATTTTCAATAGATGATTATTATTTTTTTTTTTGATAATTATTTATTCAAACAGGATGCTGATATATTATTATTATTATTATATATACTCTGATCCAAGAAATAATTATTTATTTTCTTTTTTAATTACTTTACAAATAACTTGTGCATTGTATTTTTGTTTTTGTTTTGTTTCTAGACAACAAAATTATTGGAACCAATTAGAAGAGGACGATCCCGAGGCTCTTCTCGATATGCTCGCACGTCTTCGTCATTCGATCATGCGAAATCAAGAGCTCGAAAAGTTCGTATAATAAAATAATCATTTCAACTCTGTCACGATTTAATTACGCGTGAACATATTTATATATACATTTGATTTTTTTTAGCAATAAACGCGGATTGGATTTAGGATTGAGCCGTGGATTCAGTGGTTCTCAAGCAGCGAAACATTTGATGGGACTTGCAGCTGCGAATTATGCCGGTGGTCCGGGACGAAGGCGTCGTTCGGAATAAATATAAAATAATTCGATGATATAAAAAAAAAAAGTATAAGGAGAAACGGGGAAGAATTGAAAAATTAAACTTCCCTCGCCCCCCACTCAAAAATAAATAATAAAAAATAATAATAATAATAATAATATTAAACGAGATAATAATATTATTCTCAACGTAATTGTTCGTAACGTGTCAGAATTATCTTTTCAAATTGACGCGTCTCTCGCATTTTGATCGTCTATCCGCCATATTGGTTTCATTAGATTTTATTTCATTTTCATGATCCATTTATCTTCGAATTTTTTTTTAATATTATTGCCTTCCAATTATAGAATTTTATTATCAACACATATTTTACACATACTTCTTTCGTTATTCTAATTCTTACATTAGTTGTAATAAAATTTACCAAATAATACAAACCGATGATCTCTCTATCTCTAGTCATGTAAACATATATAAATACATATATTATTTATAATTTATTATTTAATTAAACACAAATTCCTCCCGAGAATGCAGTTATTTTGTTCTCTATTTATTTATTTTTTTTTTTTAGTTTTCATATCATTTTAGAATTAGATACAATGAACAACACACGAATATATGCGATTTATTTTTCAATATCTTGATGTCGTCGATTAAATAAAATGGCTATACGATTGTGCCATATTATGTACCATTTGTAGATATTTACTGTATTTACCTCTTGTCGATAGAATGTATTTTACGAATCTGTAAAATCTAATATATATATATTACACGAAACAGAGAGATAGATAACATAATATATTAATTTATGTATTTTATCTTCTAATAATCACGTACAAAAAATCTCTTTTTTAATTTCTATTTAGGACAAAATCAAAAGTTTAATATTTGTTGTAATATGTGTAACGAAGAAATGTTTTTCGCCTCTAAATCGTCTAAATAAATGTTACTTTAACTCAAAACTGTTCTAATCTCAATCTGACTTGCTTCGATTTAAAAATACACACACACACACACATATGCGTATACTGTTTTTTAAATATCTCTTTTTATATATTTAAATGATTATTTATAAGTTAAAAAATCATAAAAATCTCCAAGACTTCTTAAAACAAAAGAAAAATTATAACATATACCAAAGTGATCCACAAAAGTTCTTATACATGACATAAAAAATTAATTTTTCTTTTCCAAGACTTTTACAGCTAATTTTTCTTTACAGATTATTAAACTACAAATTTAAGAAATAAAATCGTAAGCTCAACTACGAGTTTAATATCTCTAGAAATAAAGTAATTAATTTTTAATATTATCTAACAACTTTTGAATCACATCCAATAGAAAGATATCGATAATATAGAAAGTCTACTTATCGACAACGGGTTCATTATAAAATCATTGTAACTACGCAGATTTGTGACATTTCCGTATTCACGTGCCAAGCAAACAAAACCAATAAGTCAGTTATTTCATCTTGTAAATACTTTAACTTATTCAGTATTGTAACATGATCGTATTCTAGTGCACTAAACATACCCTGCCTTATACTATACGCTTGCATTTCTATTCCTTTTTTTTTTCCTTTTTTCGTAAGCATTCTTCGTTTGCATTGCAACAGAATCATTGCCACCATACACGTCATCAAAGGTTACGTGTATCTGTTTTTACCTGGTAAATCTGCCAAGTCAATGATTTTCTACTTTCATTAGTCTGTTTTAACATGATCATCGAATGCTAATAAAACATAAATGATTATTATTTAAATATATATAAGAGAACGATCAAATAGTTTTAATTTTTATTTATGAAAAATTAATTATATATAATTATAATTATTATATATATATAAATAAATAAATAAACAAATCTTAAGTTTCAGGTGCACAAATTAATAAGCAATAAATATCATAGATAAGATATTGCATCTTCGAAGTGCAACTAGAGACACCTATCCTGATTATTAGACAATTATAATCGCTACTTATGGCTTTTACATATAATACTGAAGAACCGATACCGCATAGTAGCGATTGGTACACTGATGAAATTACTTCAGGGACTTCACCGAATTTTAATCTCGAAGAAATTACGTAAGTATAAATTTGTAATCGACTTTTTTAGTCCATAAATTTCAAGTGTCTTATTTTTAAATATAATGACAACATTCTGATGAAATCACGAAGATAATTAAAAAAATTTAATAAGGTTTTAACATTTTAAACATTTACAAGATTTTAAATATTTAAAATCTTGTAAATGTTTAAAATGTTAAAACCTTATTAAATTTTTTTAATTATCTTCGTGATTTCATCAGAATGTTGTCATTATATTTAAAAATAAGACACTTGAAATTTATGGACTAAAAAAGTCGATTACAAATTTATACTTACGTAATTTCTTCGAGATTAAAATTCGGTGAAGTCCCTGAAGTAATTTCATCAGTGTACCAATCGCTACTATGCGGTATCGGTTCTTCAGTATTATATGTAAAAGCCATAAGTAGCGATTATAATTGTCTAATAATCAGGATAGGTGTCTCTAGTTGCACTTCGAAGATGCAATATCTTATCTATGATATTTATTGCTTATTAATTTGTGCACCTGAAACTTAAGATTTGTTTATTTATTTATTTATATATATATAATAATTATAATTATATATAATTAATTTTTCATAAATAAAAATTAAAACTATTTGATCGTTCTCTTATATATATTTAAATAATAATCATTTATGTTTTATTAGCATTCGATGATCATGTTAAAACAGACTAATGAAAGTAGAAAATCATTGACTTGGCAGATTTACCAGGTAAAAACAGATACACGTAACCTTTGATGACGTGTATGGTGGCAATGATTCTGTTGCAATGCAAACGAAGAATGCTTACGAAAAAAGGAAAAAAAAAAGGAATAGAAATGCAAGCGTATAGTATAAGGCAGGGTATGTTTAGTGCACTAGAATACGATCATGTTACAATACTGAATAAGTTAAAGTATTTACAAGATGAAATAACTGACTTATTGGTTTTGTTTGCTTGGCACGTGAATACGGAAATGTCACAAATCTGCGTAGTTACAATGATTTTATAATGAACCCGTTGTCGATAAGTAGACTTTCTATATTATCGATATCTTTCTATTGGATGTGATTCAAAAGTTGTTAGATAATATTAAAAATTAATTACTTTATTTCTAGAGATATTAAACTCGTAGTTGAGCTTACGATTTTATTTCTTAAATTTGTAGTTTAATAATCTGTAAAGAAAAATTAGCTGTAAAAGTCTTGGAAAAGAAAAATTAATTTTTTATGTCATGTATAAGAACTTTTGTGGATCACTTTGGTATATGTTATAATTTTTCTTTTGTTTTAAGAAGTCTTGGAGATTTTTATGATTTTTTAACTTATAAATAATCATTTAAATATATAAAAAGAGATATTTAAAAAACAGTATACGCATATGTGTGTGTGTGTGTGTATTTTTAAATCGAAGCAAGTCAGATTGAGATTAGAACAGTTTTGAGTTAAAGTAACATTTATTTAGACGATTTAGAGGCGAAAAACATTTCTTCGTTACACATATTACAACAAATATTAAACTTTTGATTTTGTCCTAAATAGAAATTAAAAAAGAGATTTTTTGTACGTGATTATTAGAAGATAAAATACATAAATTAATATATTATGTTATCTATCTCTCTGTTTCGTGTAATATATATATATTAGATTTTACAGATTCGTAAAATACATTCTATCGACAAGAGGTAAATACAGTAAATATCTACAAATGGTACATAATATGGCACAATCGTATAGCCATTTTATTTAATCGACGACATCAAGATATTGAAAAATAAATCGCATATATTCGTGTGTTGTTCATTGTATCTAATTCTAAAATGATATGAAAACTAAAAAAAAAAAATAAATAAATAGAGAACAAAATAACTGCATTCTCGGGAGGAATTTGTGTTTAATTAAATAATAAATTATAAATAATATATGTATTTATATATGTTTACATGACTAGAGATAGAGAGATCATCGGTTTGTATTATTTGGTAAATTTTATTACAACTAATGTAAGAATTAGAATAACGAAAGAAGTATGTGTAAAATATGTGTTGATAATAAAATTCTATAATTGGAAGGCAATAATATTAAAAAAAAATTCGAAGATAAATGGATCATGAAAATGAAATAAAATCTAATGAAACCAATATGGCGGATAGACGATCAAAATGCGAGAGACGCGTCAATTTGAAAAGATAATTCTGACACGTTACGAACAATTACGTTGAGAATAATATTATTATCTCGTTTAATATTATTATTATTATTATTATTTTTTATTATTTATTTTTGAGTGGGGGGCGAGGGAAGTTTAATTTTTCAATTCTTCCCCGTTTCTCCTTATACTTTTTTTTTTTATATCATCGAATTATTTTATATTTATTCCGAACGACGCCTTCGTCCCGGACCACCGGCATAATTCGCAGCTGCAAGTCCCATCAAATGTTTCGCTGCTTGAGAACCACTGAATCCACGGCTCAATCCTAAATCCAATCCGCGTTTATTGCTAAAAAAAATCAAATGTATATATAAATATGTTCACGCGTAATTAAATCGTGACAGAGTTGAAATGATTATTTTATTATACGAACTTTTCGAGCTCTTGATTTCGCATGATCGAATGACGAAGACGTGCGAGCATATCGAGAAGAGCCTCGGGATCGTCCTCTTCTAATTGGTTCCAATAATTTTGTTGTCTAGAAACAAAACAAAAACAAAAATACAATGCACAAGTTATTTGTAAAGTAATTAAAAAAGAAAATAAATAATTATTTCTTGGATCAGAGTATATATAATAATAATAATAATATATCAGCATCCTGTTTGAATAAATAATTATCAAAAAAAAAAATAATAATCATCTATTGAAAATATCGATTAAATAATAACATTACACATTCGAGTAATATATTAATAACAAATTTTTACAAAAATACTGATCAAATAAATAAAAGTGTGTTAATATAATAAATACATATATTAGTATAATAAAATCTGTATATTAATATTAATTGACGAATCATCCTAGATAAATGAATCGATGACGATTTCCTAGAATAATGTAATCTTTTATTTCATAATGTGTTGAAAGAGAGGGACGCATCCTAGATAAATTCGATGGTTTAGTAGTATACTTGAGTGTCCATAGGTTTCAAGCATATTCCTTTAAATTGAATTTACCTAGATTTCTTTTTTTTTTTTTTCTTTCCTTGGCTACTTCATTGGGTGCTTACTTTCAAATCAGAGAACCATTTTCCATCGAGACTCGATGCTTCATGAAATGAAACTGGGTTAAACCATCCGTTGCAACCAGATGCGTCTCTTTTCTCATCGTTTATGGTAGAACGATATCAAGTGATCGTCCTGATGGCGACGTAATTGTGATATCCATTAGATGAAATTAATTTGATTGTTAATGTATTCTTTATTATTCATTGACATTATCTATTTTTCTCCACCATTCTTCTCTTTTTCATAACAAACCATCTTCCACTTCTTTCATTATGATTTTTCATCATTGAATTTACTTATTAAAAATGTACTATCTTTTTTAAATGTGATTTTTTTTTTTTAAACAATTATTATAATACTCTCTCTCTCTCTTTTGTCGAGAAATATTACTAGAATTTAATTTATTCTTACGAATTGTGTGTATCAAATAATTATTTAGAAATTCTTTTGATCGAACGTCGTGTATATCTTATTTTTCGTTTTAATTTAAAGTTGTATTTTTGTTGTTGTTGTTGTTTAAATAAATTTGTACTTACGAAAACGGAGCAGCATCCGCGAGAGTACTTGAAACAGCCATAACGGTTATGGCCATCAGGATCAAACAGGAGATTGCAATTTGTCTCTGCATCTTCGATGAGGAATAAATCGTCCACGTGTTCTAAAATTAAAAATATCAGACCACATGACAATACTTCAATTAGAAATTATTAAGCTTAATTATTATTGAAAATATCAATTGAGCGTTTTCTTTGAAACGAATTATTATTAATTCGTAGGGGGGGTACGAAAATATGTTTATTAATTATTTTTTAAATAAGGGTGGGGAGTTGAATGTAACAAAGGTGAAAACAGAATTCTGCGAGATTACGAGTAAGAACAATATTTTCATATCACTGACAAGAAAAGTCATTGCAGTGTTAAGGGAATTTTACTAACAAACTATTCAACACACTCTGCTACACATTTCTGAATGTTCTTTCGTACCTTTTTACGTTTCATTCACAATTATGTTTTATGTATATTACGTACATACACACGTATGTATCATAAATTTACTACTTGGGCCGAAAAAAAAAACATAAAAAAAAGGTTTCTATAATTTATCATCTAAATTAATTAATTAATTAATTTATGAAGATCAATTCTTCGTAAGTTTCCGAATAAAAATTGATTACGAACAATTTGATAAAACAAACGAACAAATAGTTCATTTTATTTCTATATATATATATAATTGTTTTTATATTAAATTAGTATTAATATAAAATATTTTATTATTTTGTTCTTTTTTTTTCGGCGTTATGAAACGTAACACAAGTGGTAGATTATTTTCACAGTATACATATTTTCAATGTTCGTTCGATTAGCATTTTACTGCAAAGCAATCACGTTGCCTTGAATACGCCGATCGTCCGTTGTAGGAGTAGATAATTGGACTTGTCGTATTCGATAATCGATGTTGATGTATATATGTACATGTAGGTGTATGTACGTTTACATGAATTGGAAAGAAATACATAAAAAAAAGAAAAAAGAAAAAAAAATTGTCCACTCCGGTGTTAAATAAAGTGTCTCTCTCTCTTGGTTTTAATATACAATTTTCTTTTATCAAAATATTAAAATATTTCAATAAAAATAAAATAATATATGTGTACTATCTATTATATATTTATTATTATTTATATATATACGCGTATATGTGTGTTTTGGTTTATAACATATATTTTTTAAGTACAGTGATAATATTATCTCGTATAAGCAAATATTGAAGTGTTTTTTTTTTACAAATAAGATAACAGCTTCGTTCATAATCGTTTAACGCTGAAACAAGTTGCAATGATAAAGATTGAAAAAGAGAAAAAAAAAGCAAGAAAAAAAAAAGAACGGTTCACGAGAAAATAAAAAGAACAACAAGTATGTTGCGGGGGTTGCGAGAACGACGTTATTTTTTCATTATCCAACTTATATTCCAGCTAACGGCAATTCGACGTAATTTGAAAGCGTATTAATTTCACGATCTATACTTCGCGAAATAAAGTGGGGAATTGTGAATTTGTATTGTCCGACGCCGTTGCATTTTTATGGGGATAACTATGTTTCTACTTTACGCGTATGGAAACTATGATGAAAAATTAAAATGCATGGTCTAATTATTTTCTTATTTTTTGTTTTATTTTGTTTTGTTTTGTTTGTTTACGTTATAACCAAAGTAATAAAGTTTCTCTTCAAAATGTAAATATACAAATATGGTAATTAAAACTATTATACATATAATCAAATAATTGAATTTTATTATATCCTAAGAGTAATGAATTAAACAACAAAGTGTTGATAATATAAATACGATTCTAAATGGGAAACAACATTTATTCATATTTCATCTAATATATTTTGTCAATAATTATTTAATTATTTCAATTTGAAAAATTATATTTACAATTTGAAGATTAATTCGTGAATTTAATTACTTGTAAATATTTTATAATTTTATTACATATATTGTGTATATTTGTCATAAATATTTTTTCATTGTTAAGAAACTAACACAAAGTAATAGAGGTTCTCGTTTAAAGATATCACGACACATTGATACACACACATACACATAGAGAGCTCGATATAAAAAGAAATAATATCTTCTCTATATAATAGAAAAAAAAATCTTAACGATCATTTTCTTTTTTATTTATCGTCTAATAATTCGCAAGACAAAAAATATTATTAGGCAACATTTATATCAATTAATAACATTATATTATTACAATATTCCTAACATTGTTTTACGTGCTTATCATAAGAATTTTCTTACGTTTGTTTCACGCAAAAAAATATTATCACATGTATGTTTCTTGCTTATGTTTCCATAAAGAACACTTTATTTAATCCCGAAGACAAGAAGGAAAAATAAAAATAGGAATATGATCTAAAGAATTTGACCGGTGGATAAAGAAAAAAACAGGTGTTATTTTGTTCCTTTTTTTTTTTTATATTTTCCTTATCCCTTGTCCCATAATAACCATCACGAAATAGAATAGAAAAGAGAAAAGAAAAAAAGAAAAAGAACGAGAATGAAGAAGACAGTCGGATACCCTTTCTACGAGAAAATAAAAAACAGAAAAAAAGGAGAAAAAAAATAACCACGAAGTGTGCAGAAAAAGGGTACGAAAAGTGGATTTATTTTTGTCAATAGGATTTGTTTGAAATAAGAGTAATTCGAGATGCCACAAGAGAGATAGAGGAATAAGGTTGAAAGATTCAAGTAAAGAAAGGAAAGGAAAGGGTAGAAAAGAGAAGAAAAGAAAGGGAAAAGAAGAATAAGATCGGGGGAAATATTTTAAGAGAAGCGTTTCGTAAAAAGGATGATATCAAACAAATTGTAGGGGTTGCGTTGCTAGATGTTGTAAGATGTAATAACGTTTAGATTTAGAATGATGTGTATATTAGTTTGTGTGTGTGTGTATATATGTATGTGTAGGTATATGCATGGATATGAATGTATAAAAAAGGATCTTCGCAAAAAAATTAAATTATCGAACATAGGATTTTTTATCGTTGTTTGTGTGCGCGTTCGTTTTTTTTACATCACTCTTTTCTTTTTACACTTAATCTCATTTATGAGAACACGATTTTCTCGGGATACGTACGTGTTACTTTACAATCGAATTTTTTTATATTTTTTTAATCTTTCAAATTACTTGGAAATGTTTTATACTTAAAATTAAAATATTTACTTTGAATTGTTCATAGGCTATTAAATTTATGTATTAATTAACTGTGTATATATATACTAGAGAAAGAGAGAGAGAGAATACATTTTATTATTTAATATACGATAAAATTTAAAAAAGTTTATTAATATCGTAATTAAGCAACTATTATTAGTTATACTTTTTTTCACGTGGTTCGAAAGTTACCGAATAAATTTATAACAAACGATTACTTTTTTCCTTTATTTTTCAGGATATGTAAAAGAATTTTTAATTAGTTATCTAATTCGACAATCTGACTAAATGAAACTCACCGAAAGAGTGTGCAGAGATAGTTCATTTTTAAAATATTAATAAAGTTGTGCTCATGTGGAAAATGGTCTAATCAACGATACTTTTTTTTTCTCGTTTTATTTTTTACACGTGGAATTGGATGCCAATTTTTATAGAGATCAATCATTTATTAAAACACAAATTAATAAAATAATTAGTATGTTTCAAAGTGACACACAATGATTAATAAATATTATAATATATTGATAGAACAATTTCTATCTTTCTTGAAGATATAATTAAACGATATTCGTATAAATATTTTATGACCAATAAAATGATTTTGTTATGATATGATTGATAAGATGAGATGTGAAGAATATAAGATGATTTACTTTTTTTTTTTTCTGGGGTCAGGGGAGAAGGGTATAGTTAATTAAATCTTTTTCTTCGATGTATTTCTTGTTAATATTAATGACATTAGTTCCGAAATACGCGGAAGATACGGAAACATCGAGGAAAATTATTTTCTTCACGGGGGAGGAAAAGATGACGACACAAGGGGTTATAAATAATGATTCTATCTACGATAACATACTTTCGCATGACCATTGTAATATAAAAAGTTAATGTATCCGAATGATTTAGGGTTTCGGATAGTTCTACGAACGGAATTGGTCGTTTGAGTATTAACGAAATTATTTATTTCTTTGTATATGTGTGAGTTATGACATTCGAATTAAAAAGAAAAAGAAAGAAGAAGAAAAATCTTATGTAATAAAGAAAGAAATAGGATCATCAATATTTTTTTATTCCTTTTCTTTCTTTTTGTTTTTTTTGTCATTGTCAACAAAAAATAATATGATGAAACATACGTAGGATGATGATGAATCGAGTAAAAATCGGATTGGTATTAAAATCGAGTAACGTAATGGTCACAGCAAAATACTATTATTTTTTCAGACGGTTCTCTTTAGTTTTTATAGCTTCATGATTAATGCAGTTTCTCATTCGGAAGATGGAAGATGCTTGAAGAAAATTCGAGGATTTATTGGACTAATATTTTATATAAAAAATTTCAAATTGTTCTTATTATTTATATATCTTTATAAGTTATGGGATTAAACAAAAAAATAAATATTAAAATAAATATTAATTTATAAATGGAATTTTATATGAAATTTTGTTCGTATATACGCGTTACTGTTAAAATCTTTTATATTTGGTCAAAGTATGATTTGTGTTTGATATATAATAAAAAAATAAAATATTATAATTTGTTTCAGTTGTATTAAGTGTTTCATAGAATAATAATAATAATAATACTTTAACTGGAGTAATTCGTATTATTTAAAAGTGCAAAGAGTGATTATTAGAATTCAATTAAAAACTCAATAGTGAGATCTTATCTCTCACTCTCTTATAATACTCATTTATAAATATAGAAAAAATAATCTTTAGATTTATAAACAAGGTTGAAATCCTTGCAGTATAGCTGGATTATTCAAATTTCATTCATCGATTTTGATAACCAGAGATATTGGAATATCATCAAATTTGAATTTTCCTCTTAACTTTAATAACAAGTAGAGTAAGTATCATTTGAAAATTTTTTTAACAGCAACGTATATATTTATTATCGATAAAATACAAATAAATTACGATAGACGTTTTAGAT